GGGAAGAAAGCTACTCACACATGCAATCTACCAGCCACCCAAAGCAGAATGGAAAATAATGGGATTTCAATAGAAGGATATGTTATGCGTTCCTTCTGCTGACCCAACCAATTTACCTATTTAAACAAACACTTGAGCAAATTCCATGGCCGGGTTTAGAATTTATTTACGAAATAAAAGTACAATTAAGTGCTCAACATGACCTAAATGAAGTGAGAGAAAGCAAAGAAAATTGTGCATCTAAAGAACAAAATTACCTCTCTGCAAGAAGAAATAAAACTCAAAGCACCGGTCTAAACTATTTTGCAGAGGGAGGGGAAAAGTAGCATTTTAGAAGGTAAGGTCTAAGTAGACAAGAAGTAGGTATATGAAGAAACAAAACAGTAATCCAGTGTAGATTTCAAAGTCCTCTTTTTTCCCCCTGCCATGTTTGAGAAGTAGCTTTAATTTCTTTCCATCTTATACTTCACTTGTAAAGTCAACCGTGGTAAACCCATATCGTTGTCAAGAAAAAGTGACCAGAAGCTTGACGTGTTTACTTTCTATTTAAAATTGTGACTAGCGTTTAAGAAACAAAATGAAAAGGGGGCGAGAAGAGAAGAGACCTTAAATAAAAAATATATCAGATTCAGATCCTTTTAGGCATTGCAAAATTTAGGCTAAAACTCAAGTATGGGAAAACTCATGAAAAATTAAACCAGACAGGATGTGATCATGCGACATTTGGCACAGAAATATTATACATTAAACATGGTATCTCTGGAATGACACTTTTTATACCACTCACTATGGATTGCCTGCCTCTCATACATACAGGTGACTTCCATCCAAGATTGTGCAGATTTAACCTGTAGCTTAGCAGGTACCAGACGTTGTTTACTTTAAGCCAGGTAAAAATAAAATAAACATTGGGATGAAAAATAAAGCTGAGAGAAAAAGAAGTTTTGGTCTAAATAGATGGTCAGATTAACCGTCTTTATTAGGTTCTCATTCAATCAATGCATGGCAGTATACAAAACTAGATATCCTGTTTCCTCAAAAATATGACCTACCTTGAAAGTAAGTCCTAGAGTGATTTTTATATATGCGCCCAATATAAGCCGTACCCCCCAAATAAGCCCTAATTAAGATCCCGCCCACTCCAGAGTTAGGGTGGGGATGGGGGGGGGTGTGAAACTGCCCTTCTACTTACCTTTGGACAGTTGTAGCCAGACCTCGCACACCACAACACCTGCTTTCATGGCTCATTTCTTCTGCAGCTGGTAAGGCTGGCAAGGCTTTCCTAAAGGCCTCTGTAGCTGATAACAAAGCTCCAGGTAGATCCAGAGCTCTGTTATCAACTGCAAAGGCCTTCAGGAAAGCTTTGCCGACTGCAGAAGAAGTTCCTGAAAGCCTCTGACAGCAAAAAGGAGGCCAGGGGTGATGCGCACAAGTGAGGTTAATTGGTAGATGACATCCCCCCAAAATAAGACCTGGTGCCTTTTTTCAGTGGCAAAAAAAATATAAGACAGGTCTTATTTTGGGGGAAACACGATAGGAAAAAAAATGGGGTTTTCCTCACTGAAAACCATGGGACAAGACATAAGGCCAGAGGTGGGCTGCGCTTACGTTAACAACTGGTTTGCTGGTTGTAAGCTTACACGCGCCCCTTGGGGAGTGAAACGCTGCTTCAAACATGCAGCTAATCACTTTTTGCAACCTTCTGACAAGCAAAGTCAATGGGGAAACCAGATCCACTTAAGATGAGTCCAGGAGGCGTGGGCAGAACTCAGCTGGGCAGCATGGGCAGGGAGACCGAGACAGAAAGTGAGTTATAAATGGAAAGGATAGCGCAGGGATGGGTCGGCGGCCGCAGCCAGTGATCACAACTACCAGTTTGGCCAAACTGGTGCGACCAGGCAGCAGCCCACCCCTGCATAAGGCCAGGCAATTAAGTTATCGATATGGGTGGTCCTCCTTCAAAATTACAACGGCACTGAAAAAAATGGCTAATGACCGTTTTTCACACCTGCACTGTTGCAGCATCTCTGTGGTCATGTGATTGAAATTCAGGACTCTCTGGAACTGGTTCGAACAGGATGCAGCATCCCAGGGTCATGGGATCACTTCTGACAAGTAAAGTCAATGGGGAAGCCAGATCCACTTCAAATTTCAGTGATACACTTGACTGTGGCAAGAAAAGTCATGAAATTGGGGCACAACTCACTTAGCAATTCTTAGCCATTCTTAGCAATGGAAATTTGGCTCAACTGTGGTCATACATTGAGGACTACCTATATATTTTATGTAAAATGTGCAGACAATATCTGATCATTCTAACTTGATTTTTGTTACCTTCTGGTGATTGGGACTGGGCCCTGTGTATGATAGCAGTATGTCTGAAATACTTTTTCATCCACTCTGGTATTTTAATGGCAGCAGCATTTTATTTGGGGCATCTTTTAAACATTCATATCTTCACCTAATGTCTTCAACATTATGTCTTAGTTATGAATGAGTCCACAGGAGTGCCCTTAAACATTTTAAAGCATTACAAGTAAATCTATATCATACTAAAACTCTTGTGTCTATTTGTCACCTTCAATTGGAAGGTAAAGAAAAAAGAAAAAGCCAGATATGTAGGAACAAAATTCAATTTTGCTCTGGGGTCTTTGTTCTATTTTCTGTTCTATGTTACATATTGCATAACCTCCTATTTTGAATGGGTAACACAAGGTCGACATCGCTATATTAAAATATTAAAGTAAGGGACTTAGGCCATAATGAAATAGAGTGGGGCAAACAGATTTACATTATTTCTAGACTTAAAATATATTAAACAAAATGCTTTTAAAGCATCACCTAATTAGAAAAGCCACCAGTTTATTCAAGCCAGTTTTCAGTCATAAAGTGTATGTCTTATGAAGTATTAGATTTTTGCAACCTATCAGATTCCTAGACTGATTCTCGAGTCTGAAATTTCAGGAGTTTTGCCAAAATACAAAAAAAAATATATCAAAGTATCATCTCGCCAAGATTCCAATGTGGAAATGAGTGAGAATAAATCCTGGACAAAATGAAATGCAGTCCTAGAAGATGCCAAGAAAATTCTGCAAATTCAGAACATTGAAACTAAGAGAGGCATCTACTCCTTGTTACTCTGAAACAAAACATTCAAATTTTGAGAAAATGACCCAGATGAATAGTGCAACAATGGTAAACTACGGCCAACTGGAAACCACACAGAGAATTTGACAGAAAGAGATTGTGTAGGATCTGAAGGCTTAAGAATTCGTGATTTCACAATGTGAAAATCACATGAACAATCTATGCTTATGTTCAGAATAAAGTTAAAAGGGAGAGGAGAGGAGAGGAAAGGAAAGGAATAGCAACTAACACAAATATTGCAATAGGAGTATGCAAAGTATTTCAGTCTTTCCAATGATGTATTGATCATTCAGAACTCAAATCAAAATGTACAAATAAAACTTGGCTACTTTCAGTGATGTCCCTTACAGTATATTAGTGAGTATTACAGTATTGATTTGTGGCTTTTAACTAAATTGCTTTTCCTCCCACTTTTCCAGCTTAACTATTACAGCAAAAGGGAACAGTCATGTTATAGATACTGTTGGTTTTAGACTGGATGGGGGATGCTTGATATCAAAAGCTAATGGTAAAAAGCTGCTTTGATGGCATGGGATATGCCTCCTCTCAGGACGTGACTCTCAGGATTGAGTCTCTCAGGCTCAAGATACAGAAGGATTTTGACAACTTGAATACTGGGCCCCTATCTAACAAAATTAAATTCAATGGGGAAAAAAGTAAAGTTCTACATTTAGGCGAGAAAAACCAATAGAACAGGTGATATCTGACTCCATGGTAGTAACTGTCAGAAGGATCTTTGAGTCCTAATGAACAATTACTTAAATATGAGCCAGCAGTCTGCTGCAGCTGTCCAAAAAGTCAACACAATCCTAAACTGCATTAACAAAGGGATAGAATCAAGATCACATGAAGTGTTAGTACCACTTTATAAGGCCTTGGTAAGAACACACTTGGAATAATGAACCCAGTTTTGGTCACAATATAGAAAAGATGTTGAAACTCTGGAAAGAGTGCAGAGAAGGCCGACAAAGATGGCTTAGGGGACAGGAGGCACTTGAAACATATGAAAAATGGTTGCAGGAATTGGGTATGCCTAGTTTAATGAAAAGAAGGATTGGGGTGACATGATAACAACAAAGTTCAAATATCTAAGAGGCTGGGAGCATCTGTTACTCCCAAACGCACAATAAAATGCAAATTATGTCATTCATGACAATTTACAACATTTGTGTAATGATATCATTCCACAAATTATGTAATGTGCATCAATCTGCACAATGATGTCATTACAAAAATGGAATGAGTTAACATAAATTTAACTATCTCATCCAGACAACAACTTCAAAGAAAATGGATTTATCCATTATTTGGGGGGAGGGTCAAGGAAGGAGGATATCTAGATTTTATCTAGGTCTAAATATTACAAATTCAATTGCTTTTATTTTGTTGTTTTGTAGCAAATTTAAGAATGCTGACAAAGATAGAAAATAATCTTAATATTTAAAGTTACTCAGAGTTACTTTGTATAGAGATGGGTGGCATGTATATAAATGAAATAAATAAATGAATGAAACATCTTGTAAATAAATGAAACATCTCGTTAACCAATTCACCCCAACTGCATAACAAATCATCTACATACAGGCACTTTTACACTCCTTTATTTCCTATTCCTTTAAGAAGCAGCCAAATATTGTGTTGTCTTTGCAACTAAGTAATTTTATGCGAAAGACACTGTCAGCCCATACAACTATTTTTTGAATATATATTTAAAGCTCATTTCTCATATTGTAGCTCACGAGAGATATTAATCCACCTTCTAGGGTAATGTGCCATTCACAAGTAATGCTATTAGAAATGTTCAACAGAGGGCATATATTACATAAAATTGCAAATGCCTGTTGTTTACATACCTGTGATTTTGTCCCTTACAAGTTTGCAGGATTCTATTTCACCAATGCTCCCAAACAGACTTTTGAGCTCTTCTTGTGTCATATTCTGAGGGAGATAGTTGACTATTAAATTGGTTTTGCTGTCCTCTGTGTTCCCAGAATCAACTGGTGATGAGCAGTTGTTGTTTATGGTAGTAGGGCCATTGGCTGTGTTATTGCAAGTTGGCCCATTAGACAGTTGTGTTTCCATGGCAGCAATTACTTGCTAAAAACAGAGAAAATAGGAACTGTCAGAATTCATATTTCACCATCTATTAGTGATTCTAGCTATGAATTTAAAGCTTTGACATTATGCAAGAGTGCCCAATTGCCAAGACTGCAATTATTGTTCTATAATAAAAACAAAGCTGTTGTAATTCTCTAACAATAAAGCCGATTTAGAAAAATAAAGCTACAAAGGCTTACTGAAATGTTTTTTTCTAAGCCAAAGCTAATTCAGTAAACCCCAAGAAATAACTGGTTAAATATTAAATTCTGATAAAATTTCAACGTTGTTCAAATAACTCCACATAAAGCTTTATATAATTATTGCAAATGATGAACTGGCAATGACAATCAACAGTAGATTTCATAAAAGACATTATTAAAAATAAATGTACTGTTTTGGTTACTTTTCAAATATTAAAGTGGATTGGCCACATTAGTTATATTGCTGGCAAAATAAAGAGTTTTTCTCTTCCAAACTTTGTGATTGACAAGGATTAAGAAGTACTAAATGCTGGAATAACCACATGAACACTTCCTTGCCTCATCACCAATTATTATCAACTATTTTTGACCTCTATTGTTTCTCACAGTGCCCCCCACCACCCCAAGCAGTATAACTATGTCTTCAGTGAAACTGAGCTAACAGAAAACTGAAGTTATTGATAGAAGAGTAAAAGATTTTGTCATTTTAAGCAAGAGCTTTCCTAAATATAGAAAAACTTTTTTTTTATTTTAGGAATGCTACCACAGAATACCTGTTAGCTATCATTTCCAGATAAGAATGGAATTTAAATTTTAATCAAATCTGAAAAGACAGAACTCATTTTAGAAGTGAAGAACTAGTTTAGTGTGCCCATAATACTGCTTCAAGAAGGAACTCAGCCTCAGATTTCTCCTCAACTGGCCTTCTGATAATCCATTTATTTTCAATCTTAGGTAGTTTAATGAAGTCCAAATTATTATCTTGGTAAAGAAAATGGAATGACAGTACTTGGAAATTATAAACATTTCCCTTGAAAAAAAGGAAGGTAGGAGATTATGAGCTATCAACCCGAGAATGACCAATTCTGGGATAATGAGGTATGCCTGCAATGTTTGTTTTAAGAGGTCCAAATGTCTCCTAATGAACACTCCTTTCAGTTCCTCTAACATATGCTCACTTATGAACCTCTTTCCTCTGATTTCAAAACAGAACTAAATTGTTCATGTACAAACTATCCAAAGGTATTTTAAGCAGTTTGTTATTTCAAATGTTCCTCCTGTATCATGCAGAACATATGGGCCACAATATTGCAGAGTGAAGCTTTCTAGAAAGTTATTTTAAGCATTATTAAACTGATCTTTTCTTAAAGGATAACTAACCATCTTCACATATCTGCATATTTATTTTTGTGCTTAGATGGCAAGAATGAAATCCAAAAGCAACATTCAAATGAACAGCTGTAATGGCCTATATAATCTGAAATTACAGTGTCTCAGTTACAGAACCATCTGCTCCTCAAAATAAAACCATACCAAATATTCTATCTTTTAAAGAAATTATACCCTATCCGTAAATAATGTTTTCACCTGTTGGAAAACAGGGTTTTTCAGCAGCTTTGAGTTTTTTGTTTTTATTTTCCAGCCAAGAAAATGTATGACTCAAATGGAATTCTGTAATTTCTTTAGTAACCAAAAAAATACACAATGTAAGTCATTTCCAGAGTTATGGTTATTCAGCATTCAGACCATACCAAAGCAGCTTTAATATAAACTCTGCTCTTTTTAATTAGAAAATTGTACTGGAGCAAAACTCAAAAGTTATGATGAGGGAAGATATAGCATTAGAAGAAAAAAAAATTGTATCGATATTTACATGTTTCAAGTATGCCATGAACCTTGCCCCAAGCCAGGATATAGTCTAATATCTATGCCAGAACTTATAAGCGAGCGTACAAAATGAATTCAGATATAATTTTAAAGTGTTTGGTATGGCCTCAGCACTAGTGCAACATGTTAATAATAAGCCTACAGAATTTAAGAAAAATCCCACAGACCCCAGTCCAAGGCTCTGCTGCCCACGAACCACTTCTAAGCAGAGAAGCCACATCACACAGTCTGACTGCCATGTTAGTTTGGAGTTGCCGTCTGCAATATGGACACAAAAAGTACCATATGTTAGATTAGCAAGATAATGCAACAAATCAGTTCGTACAAATTTTACATTGATGGTATTGATATTCCCAGCACGTCCATGCAGTGTGGCTTAATAGAATTTCAGGCAATTCCAATCTAATCTTTTCAAATTCTTTTTCTTTCAGGAATTAAGGTATTTTTAGAAGCCGGGTGTAAAAGAGCAGAACAAGCTAATTACTTTGCATCCATCTTTATAAACCTATCTTAAATGCATATACACCAACATATGGCTACAAGAACTCTTATCTCAGCTTAACAAAGATCTTGGTGCTGAAAAACAAATGGGTTGGGTGAGGTAGAAATAATGGCAAAAGTATTCAGCCGGGTTATTTAAAAAAATTTGTGCCAGAGATTGCTTTCATTGTAACCTTTTATGAAGTTTGTGGCATTATGTCAGTTGATGTCCAGCTCTGTAGACTAATCTGTTTGCACAGTTATGCCATCAATATCATTGATAGTATGAACTCAGTTCAGTTCAAAGACTCAAGCAGTATTACTGAAATAATTGAGCTGATAAACATATAGAAATGTCTTCGATAATATGCTGTCCCGCACAAATTGTAAAACCAGACATTTGAATTTTGCAGAGCTAGAAAAGGACTAATGCATCAATCAGTATGCCACTTGCAACATGTCATGATTTTAACATAACCGTCTAAGATGGGAAATTAACACGGATTATCTATATTAATTCCCGGAAGTTTCTGAGGCACCACTGTTCTGAAAACCAGTCACTAGGCCACATCTTAAATTCATATGGCTCATTTGATGGATTTATAAATTTATATGGTTATTTATAATAAGTAGGTTATTTATAGTAAGAAATGAAATGACTGATTAAGGCAGGCCTTCATATTGATCCACCCAAAAATATCACCCATTTTCTTTGGCCAAAACAAAATCTGCCAGATCCAAAGCTTGAATAATGTGTGCTTTATTACAAATTTATTTTAAGATTAAAGCATTACATGCAACAGCACTATATATTGATTCATTCAAGCAGTTAGATATTAGCAAGAGGGTTTTTTTTCTTCTTCTAAGTGCAGAAATGCACGCACATTACTGTAAAACGGTGACTCTCTAAGGACGGAAGTTCCACGTGGAGTATGAATTAGATAAACTGAGAAAAATCCAGCCTGAAATGGAATACATTCCAACCAAAACTGAATTTATTAGTTGATTGTATAATACCTTGACAAGTTCTAATAAAATAGCAGTACAGGATACATTTGTGTTCTATCATTGGCCATGTTATCTGGTCAATAAATCTAACTTCTCTGTATCATTCGCTCAATCCTCCAAAGAAGTCAATGTTATTGCCAATTTTCTTTGCCCACATGGGCCTCAGTGTTACAGCAAGAAAAGTTTAAATTTAGCACAGCATTGCAGTTCAAAGACATAAAAAAATGCTGCAGAGTATTTTTTTTTTCTCATTAGGAATTAAGAGTTTTGTTTTGGGGGCTTTCAAGTCAGTTTTGGACAACTGATGACTGCCTGGATGACTGCCTGCATTTTTCTTAGCAGAGTTTTTGGGAAGTGAATTTGCCACTGCCTCTTTCCCAGGGCCGAGAGCATGAAACTGGCAAAAGGGCACCCAGCTAGCTTTGTGCCTGCCACAGCATTAGAACTCAGAGTCTCCCAGTTTGTAGCACGGTGCCTGAAACATCACATCGAACCAGGGTTACCTGGATGTTGCCCAGGTAAAACCCACTTGTAATGGGGGGGGGGGGGGGGGGGGGGGGAGCAGAGAGTTAAAAATAGTTCACATGATTCAATAGGGAAAGCAAAAGAAGTTTTTATAATTGGAAAAAGTTCACTTGGTAAGATTCTGTATTAGACCAATTTGCAACACCTTCTGTTACTTTGGTGCCATATAATTCGTTCCTATAAATGTAAAAATAATATTCTAGAAAAGCAGCATGCTTCTTTAACATGCTCTCTTCTTAAATAAAGCCTAATCCTTGAAAACTGCAGGGAATTTTTTTTCTAAAACAGAAGAGACAATTCAAAACTTCAATAGGCCTAATCTTAAATTCAGTCAATATGCATAGAAACAACACTAGTTATAACATAAGATTAAGAAAATTCATCTGGGCAATTAGCTGCTTTCAAAAAATACATTCTTGCACAACTATTACACAAACACATATACAAACACACAACAAACTAAGAACTAAAGAGTTTAAATTTGACTAATACTGAATTGGAATATATAGTTGGGAGAGAATGGGAGATATACCAAACATCTATAGAAGAAAGGATAAAAATGCCAACATCAAATAAAAATTTCTTCTTGAAATCAGCATGACAGTTACTTCTTACATCCTGGAAACCTGGATCACAAACTGTTAAACTCTCCCTTTGAAATCTGATAAACATTTAAGAAACAAAGATATATTAGATCTGTAGTAGGAAGACAACAACATGTTAGGCAAGGTCAAGAATTAAAAAAAAAAAAATCTATCAGAATGGTAGAAGTGGGGGGATTTGGTAGTATTTCCAAAAGAGAGGAGAAGAAAAACTGGCACTGTCCTTTGGGTGATATATCTTAATATTTGAAAACAGCAATAGTATCATTTTTATCATCCTATTTATAAAGCTTTGGTACCAAAGTAGGAAAGGATGGATTTTGTCCAAATAGAAATTTAGCTGGATAGGAAATTAATACTATATAGCCAATAGTATACGACTCTCATAAATAAAAACCAAATTAAATATTTTGCAACTAGCATACAAGCTAGGGATTAAGAACAAGGAGTCTCAGGACTCACTCTTAGCCCAAACTAAAGAAGCTCTATGTAGGACACCACCTTGAACTCCTGGGATATCAACCCAATAAATAAATAAATTATACAATAATCTAAATCTTCTGACCATTTTATGGATCTGTGTATTTGCTTGAGGCACCTAAACAAAATGAAATTCAAACTTAAAGGAACGTTAATCTTCAAGTCAGCATTTAAAGGCCCACCAGAGTCAAAGTTAATTTATGATTGGTAAGTCTTCAATTTATAATAAATTTCATTAATCTGCATTGTTGAAGCTCAGGGGTAATTGCTCATACTTCCAACAGAAAAACTGAATCCTTAATGTGCAAAAGAGGCTAAAAAATAGGTTAAAAATCCAGGAAAACTACTGTTATCCAATATGTATAATACTAAGCAACTTGGATCAAACCTTGGATCAGTCTTATAATGGTGGCAAACTTATAATAGTTACCAAGAACATGTATGTAGAACTACAAGAATGCTGTGCTCTATCATTATCATCACCATAAATCAGAAATGGAAAACAATGGCTAGTTTCATATATAGGTGTGCATGATTAGACCAAAAACTTCAGCATAATATTCTATTATAGATATGATGCCCAGTTGTGATAAATCCACACATATGCTGCAAAACAGCAATCTTTACCATTACATTGCCTTGGGTATCTCCACATTTTAATATTTTTTAGAAAGATGATATTCATCCTCTACAGGATAATTTTATCCACATTTCTCTCCTGTGCAAGTTCACTTCCTATTTGCCATTTCTTCCTCTAACTTAGAATCTCAAACGCTGTAATCCTTTTTAGCATGCAAAGGGACTTAATAAATCTGATTCTCCATTTCAATATATTTTCCAGTTCTACACTTGAGGTATGATAAGAACATACTGCATTGCAAAGGTAGGTGTTGTATGCATTTTAATGTAGGTAACCGTTTCATTTGTAATAAATGACTTTATTTTTAATGATTCTCCATATGGAACTAAAATGACTTCAGTCACTAAACCCCAAGTGACTGTTTCATAGAGATATGCTACAAATCACTTCAAGTCAATCATTAAGATTTGCTTTTCACATCAATAAACATCTATTTATATATGTCCTTGGAACACGTTCAAAATCTTTGCTTTGTCTGTTTCCTTCCTCTATATATTTGATAACATCAGCAGATTTGAACCCCTTATTGCTCAACCTAACACCAAGTCATTTATCAATAAGTTAAAAACAGCAATCCCAGTAACATACTGCTGTTTATATTCTTTTATAAAACTGTATAGTTATTCCACCTTTACTTTCTGTTAAACAATTAGAAATCAGTTAAAAATACCATCACCTGTTGCTGTAGGCTACCAGCATTCTTGAAAAGTAATAACCAAAGAAAGACCTTTTGAAAAATCCAAATAGATAGTGACGAGAGGACATTATTTTTATTCACTGTATGCTGCCATATTCCAAAAAATATTTTTAAAAATTACTTAAGCAAGTCTTACATCTGCAGAACAGGTTTCTTCTGCATTCTTCAAAAAGACATGCTATACAATATGTGCTACAATTTGAAAAGCTAGCATTTTACAATACCTGCATATCTCCATTTTAAAATCAGCATTTATATAGGGAAATCCTTATTTCTCTAATAAAAAAAACTTCCGTTACATTGGGTAGAAAGTTTTCTCACTTTTTAATTAAGAAATTTTAGAAGGGTTCCATTTAGACTTGGTGAATTGAGAACAATTTGTTAGCAAGATCTAGAATCACTTTTCATTATTACTACTTCAGTTTAACACAATTCTATTCAGTATTTCCCTCAGGCTGTTTTCTTACTATCTTTTTCTACCCTATAGGATCTGGAGTGAAAACGGAACTCCAGAGATTTCTCCGAAGACTTCTTTAAAAATCCAAGAGATCAACATTATTGCTTCATTTCTGTGCACTGCTGCTCTGCACTATTTACTTTCTTTTTCTTTTTAAATTCCCCGTGTTAAGGACTATGTCACTTTTTGTTCTCTTTGAGGAATATTTTATTTTTCTTCTAACAAAATCCTTGGCACTACACAACAGTCATACCTATGATTTCTGGGTTTCCAGATACCTATTTATTGTATCCATTCTAATTGATCATCCATTCGTTTGTGGCATTTCTGGGTTGGACAAGCCTGTTCTA